GCCGGCCCGGGCGGGGGAGGCGGCCGGCCCGGGCGCGGCCCCGCGCCTGGGCCGAGCCCGTCCCTGCAAGAGCCTCCCTGGGCTCGTGCGTTGATGACGGAAAGCCGAGCGTGACCCGTAATACTGAGAACAGTGGATTTCGCATAACCCCGCTATTTTTAACGGTGTCCTATTAGTTGCTGTCCTATTATCAAGAGCCATTTCGAGTTGGAATATATGCCTAAACACGAAGAATACGGTCCTTCAATCCTTACTTGGGTAAAATGTCCTTTACAGCCATGGGAGTCCTGGTGTGAGCAGCACTGTCTTCAGTCTTGCAGACTCCATTAGTTCCTTTAGTTCATTAGCTCTTGCAGAGAAACAGTAAGACCGAGATATTTAGACATGAAGAAAGCTGGAATACAACTACTCTTACTTTGTACGTATTGCAAGATGCTGATTGCAACCATCAGCCCAAGTAAAAGGAAGAAAAAATCTCTAAGGATGCTTGGAGAAATACGTGAGTTTGTGACGTGAAAATCTCTGAACACTAACATGATAGCTAGAATCATATCATTGGCATTTTAACCGGTCATCCTGGTTTTATTGCTTCTGTCTCACCTAAATGATCAGTTTGTCCAAGATCCATGAAATGGATATCCAGGCTAGCAAGATCAATGTCAAGCGGAAAGATGAAGGAACAGAAGTGCCAGTCCCAGGACTATGGCTTATTCTAATACAGGAGTAAGTGGCTTAAACTGAAGTAGCAGCTATAGGCAGCTAGGTTTTGGTTGTCCCACAGAGCGAGCACAGGTGTATTGGGTTTGTGTGGCAAGGTTTTGGTGGGCGGGTGGCTTCTGTGAGAAGCTGCTAGAAGCTTCCCCTATGTCTGACAGAGCCCATGCCAGCCGGCTCCAAGACAGACCCTGGCCAAGGCCGAGCCCATCAGCAACGGTGGTAGCACCTCTGGGATAACATATTTAAAAAGGGAAAAAAACCCTGTGCAGCAGCAATTGCAGGCAGAGAGAGGAGTGAGAACATGTAAGAGAAACAACCCTGCAGACACCCAGGTCAGTGGAGAAGGAGGGGGGGAGGATGTGCTCCAGGCGCCGGAGCAGAGATTCCCCTGCAGCCCGTGGTGAAGACCATGGTGAGGCAGGCTGTCCCCCTGCAGCCCAGGGAGGTCCACGGTGGAGCAGATCTCCACCTGCAGCCCGTGGAGGACCCCACGCCAGAGCAGGTGGGTGCCTGAAGGAGGCTGTGACCCCGTGGGAAGCCCGCGCTGGAGCAGGTTTTCTGGCAGGACTTGTGACCCTGCAGGGGACCCACGCTGGAGCAGGCTGTGCCTGAAGGACTGCAGCCTGTCAAAAGGACCCACGCTGGAGCAGTTTGTGAAGAACTGCAGCCTGTGGGAAGGACTCACATTGGAGAAGTTTGTGGAGAACTGTCTCCCATGGGAGGGACCCCACGCCAGAGCAGGGGAAGAGTGAGGAGTCCTGCCCCTGAGGAGGAAGGAGCAGCAGAGACAACGTGTGATGAACTGACTACAATCCCCACTCCCCATCTCCCTGTGCCACTGGAGGTGACGAGGTAGAGAAAATCAGGACTAAAGTTAAGCCCAGGAAGAAGGGATGGGTGGGGGGAAGGTGTTTTAAGATTTAGTTTTTGTTTCTCATTACCCTACTCTGATTTTATTGGTACTAAATTAAACTAATTTCCCCAAGTCAAGTCTGTTTTGCCTGTGACGGTAGTGAATGATCTCTCCCTGTCCTTATCTCGACCCGTGATCCTTTCATTATATTTTCTCTCCCCTGTCCAGCTGAGGAGGGGAGTGACAGAGCAACTTTGGTGGGCACCTGGCCTCCAGCCAGGGTCAACCCACCACAACAGGGAAACTGATCCGAGTGAAGCCTTTTCTGGGACCCATGCCATCCCTAGTTAAGAAGGGTGGAAAGGAAATTATACAATAGTTTCTGTCCCTTCTCCGGTTTTAAGTCATTGTGGGAATCCGTATGTGCTGCATTCCCACAAAATATGTAGAAGACTTGCACAAGGAGACTGACTGTATACCTCAGGTTGGTCAGAATAGCGAACAGTATTTCTTGTTGCTCTGTCAGACCATCTGCTGTGATACTGCTATGCAGTTGTACTACTGTGGCTGATTAACTATTGAGCTGTATGATATTATCCCATTTTATTTACAAATTCTTTTAAGTGGCAAATCCTTCAGCATGTGTTTTATGGTCAGGCTTAGCACGATAAGCAGGATGTGCTGTTCAGAGAGATTGTGAACATTGGTCAAAAACTACAGATTTATTAAAAATACTAACTGGAAGTTCCTCTGCTTTTGTATGTATATGAGATGATCTGTTTTTAAATGCTTGCTGTTACCATGTTAGGTAATTCAGCATGTTTGGGCTGCTACTTTTTTATAGAACATAATATGAATGGCATTTTCAGTTTGTAGAGACACATTTTGAGGTCAGTACATTAGTTCCAAAGTTGTTAGATTAAAATGCCAAACTGTTGTTAGTTGGTTTACTGGAGACAAATAATGCCAGAATGTTTTATACTTGCTGTTTTTAAAAGGCAGTTTTCTTCTGTGAACAGCCCACCGTATCAGTTAAACACACCATTTATCTGCATAGGAAAACAGAGACCAATAGCTCCTAAATTTTATTGATTCCGACACTACTGTCTCAAAAATCTCATCATTAAAGTGCTTTTTTCTTTGTTAACACATGTTTTAAGCCTTAATATCTTAATGACTACTTCCAGACTACAAAGTAAATTAAACGTCTAAGGATGCTGAGAATGTTTGATTATAACAGTCTTTTTGATGATTTCCATTTTGAGATGGTGAATCCAAATGAAACAATGAAGCAGTGATTGTGGGCAGACACAACAGATTAAGGTTTCCAAGTACTGATAACCTGGGAGCTGTGCATTCAGGTGAGCAAGTAGTGGATTAGTCATAGATATCATTGACTACTCCGTGCTCTGGCTCACCTGAGGGTGTTTGGCTTGACAAGGAAATAGTGTTTCCTGTTTCCTAGAGAAAAGACTGGATCTCCAAGGTGACTTGGCTTTCCAGCAGCAAGCAATGGAGACCCAGAAGGAGGCATGAAGCTGTATGCTTTATTTGGGGGATGAGTTTGGAGTTCCTCTGATGAAAGTTGATGACTTTTCAGAAGAAAAAAAATGAGATAAGCCTGTGTGACTGGAAACCAATGGGAATAAATTGTGAGTCATGTGAGCTGCCAGTATTTGGTCCCTGGTCATGAGAGTATGCCCCTGAAAGCAAGAAAAACAGTAAGCGTTTCAAATAGCTCTCTTGGGAGGAGAGGTGGAAAAAGAATGCTTTTCATATAAAAGAATTGCTGTATATTTAATCAGTAATACATGTATTGCTGAACTTCAGCCATACTTTTATAGCACCAAGATTCTGTCTATAACAAGAAAGGTCACAGTCTTCCGAAGTTAGCCTGTTAGCCATATGACTTCTCAGCAAAAGAAAGGGGAAGATGGTCCCAGAGCAATTTTTATTTGTTACACTGTTGGGAAAGGTATTTGTTGCACTTAGTGATCCAGCTGAAGTCATGTTGTCCTATGGTAGCAATTGGATCAGGATGGATCTTCAGCTTTTTTAAAATAAGGAGATTTTACAGTGTTGAGAATGACAGAAAAATTCTTTTTCCTTCTTTTCAAGCGGTAATGTGTAAGGGTTTTTTGCTCTCTGTTTGGCTGCAGATACAAGAAATTTTTTTCAGTTTCTACATGATGGTATGCATCTAATTCAAATGTATGAAGCCAGAAAGAGTTGTCCTGGCAAGCCCAATTCATCCACCCATGGTAATGTGACCACTCAGAACTAAAATCATAAAGCAAAAAACCTGTACCTTATATCAAAGTTCAAAGAAAGATGAATCTATGTAATAATTTGTCAGCAATACTTGTATGAGGAAGAGCATTTGATTATTTCCTTTAAAGCAACTGTGATTCTGGAAATTTAGCTTTTATCAAACCATTTACTTTCATGGCCTACCTACCAGCAAGTAGAATAGAAACACAGTCAGTCTCGTCCTGCTTCCAGACCACATTGCACTTTTGTCTGTGTTCCAGAAGCTACACATGGTGCATTGAACATTTCACGGATAAATGCTCTAGACAGACAAGTCTATATAAGGGTAGAAAAAAGCGAAGATGGACAAAGAAAGGTATGTCCACTCAAATTGGCGGTTATGGTACATATAAGTCCCTGCTCATGCGTTGCCTATGTGCACTATTCAGAGGATGACTATAGACCTGAGAATAACTGTGTTTGTCCTCCATAAAATCTTAGACAATGTCAATTCTCTAAACTGTGGCACTGTTTTGTTCTCGGAAACAGCTATCTAAAAAGTATGCCCTGATACTGGAGGAACATTGCAAAGAAGACTCAACCCAGTATTGACAGGTTTCTGTATAAGCAGAGGACTTGGACATAAAATTACATATGATTCAACCTGTCCTACCTTTCAAGTAAGGCCAATTCCCTGGTGCAGATGCTATTTGCATCCCTGGAGTCCAGTCCTACCTCAGTAGCAGGCATAAAAATGCATTCTGTCTGTCACAGCCTGCTGCTGCTACTAGTGAAGCAAAATCCCCAAGCGTGCTGCTGGTGTGCTTTCTTGACATGCTTATATCCTGGGCTGTCTCTGGTATTGGCACAGAGATCATCCTATGCATACCATCTTTGAAGTCTTTTCCACTGATAATACTGGCTTTCACTTCCTGCACAGGGGAGTGTTCTGAGCTTTTTAATATGGGGACTCTCATTTATGTTGAGTATCGAAATCCCCAAATTTGAACCTTTTAACCAGTGTAGTACTTCCTCCAAATAATAGTCTCTGTAGGTACCGGTATTCCACTTCTCTAACTTATTAAAATCCTGGAATAAGACACACAAAGTCTCTGTCTTTCTTTGTGTGC